AAGAAAATATCGCAGAAAGGGTGAGAGCTGAGCGTCTGAGATTAAACGCACTAAAAAGTTGCCGGATGCACACACAGCTTCTCGTTCATATATTCTTACACATGGTTTTTTTTCCCCCTCCATCTAACCGACTATCTTTTAGCAGCATTTGGTCAAAACTAGCCTTGGACATGTCTTCTTTGTCCAGTATGAGTGTTCCTGAAGCTATAACTTATATAGGTAGAACATTCACTCTGTTATTGCCTCGCACTCCTGCTTTTCCCGGACAAAATGTCCGCGTGAGTCCGTGTAATCTTGATCCTGATGTTTTCGTTATGTTATCACAGTCGATGCCACTGCACTCTGAGCGATTCTGTTGGATGTTGAATGTTGGATTAAGAATCGGCATCATAGCATTCGGGACACTGCCATAAGCGCTCCATCCCCAGCTTCAACAACAAACAAAGAGTTCAAATTTCCTCTACTCCTGGAATGCCTCGCAGCGTCAAGACAGGAAGAGATCTCTGGAACCAGCCCTTCTGTTCGCATTGTATATAGTACTTTTCAGTGTCTGATATATTTCTGCGGTCTATGTTCTGCGTGGTCGAGCTCTGGTTCTGTTACCCTTGTATCTGAATAACATACATATAACATACAACAAAAAGTGTCACATGTTGTGACAAGATTCAAGAATCCCTAGAGTGTCGATCGATACCCTGTTTGTATCCGTCCTAACCACAGAAAACCGTAATGATAGCTGTCCTTGATATCGCTGTAACGGATATTCCACTTTGTTGTCACCGGGTACCGACATGACAGATTTAATGCAGATATTGCGTGATTCGGTGCTCGCTTTTTCAGAGTAACGACTCCATTTATATAACCTTTGCGGGGGAACATGGTAGAATTATGTTGACAAGTGTGTTTATGCTTCCCCCGGCTAGGAATTAGCCAGCGGACGAATATTTGCTAAACTAATATGTCAGGTCTGTTGGAGATAGTTTTTTTTAAAGTCTGGGTTATTTTGTTAGCGATAGATGGCATGGGGTGACTCTTTGATATAGCATCCGTTCTGACTCAGATCAGATATGGATCGACTGGCTTTGGCTCTGGTGCTCCATTTTTGCAGACAAGAAATGAATAGATCCATCGCACCTTAACAGACGCATTACCTTCTTCCACGAAGCTCTTAAAAGGGCAGTTGGCCATATGTGTTGTGGTTTATACAGCTAGGCTGTGATATGTATGACTTGTGGCCTAACACATCCGATTGGAACAAATTGTTAATTGGTCACCTTTCGCGGCAATCTCTGGGTACACAGCAGTTATATTTTTCACTGGGGTTTTAAGGGCCCTGTCGTCTTCTTTCTGGGGATTTTAGGGGCACTGTTTTCTTTTTTCATGTCGTGAAAGGCCACTAGGTATGGGTTTGCTGAATTAGGGTGTGAACCACAACACGGCTTGCCAGGCCGCAATTTTGGTTTTGCCAATTAGGGTGTGAACACAACAAGAAGAGAAGAAGAAATTTTGAAGAAGAAAAGAAAGAAGAAGAAGAAGAAGAAGAAGAAGAAAGAAGAAAGAAGAGAAGAAGAAAAAGAAGAAGAAGAAGAAGAAGAAGAAGAAAAAGAAGAGAAGAATAAGAAGAAGAATAAGAAGAAGAAAGAAGAAGAAGAAGAAGAAGAAGAAGAAGAAGAAGAAGAAGAAGAAGAAGAAGAAGAAGAAGAAGAAGAAGAAGAAGAGGAAAAAGAAGAAAAAGAAGAAGAAGAAGCAGAAGCAGAAAAAATAGTAGCAGTAATAGTAGTTACAGCTGCAGCGGCAGTATTAGTAGTAGCGGTAGTAGCAGAGCTAGTAGTAGCTTTTGCAGCAGTAACAACAGTAGTATTAGTAGTAGAAGTAGTAGTAGTAGTAGTAGTAGTGGTAATAGCAGCAGTAGTATTTGTATTTAGCAACAGCAATAGTAGTCGAAGTTGTTGTTGTTGTTATTTATTTGTTCTTGTTGTTGTAACCGAGGCAGCATCAGTAGTGGTACAAGTTGTAGTAAAAACAGCGCTAGTAGTGGTATTAGTGGTGGAAGTTGTAGTAGTAGTAGTAGTAGTAGTAGTAGTAGTAGTAGTAGTAGTAGTAGTAGAAGTAGTAGTAGTAGTAGTAGTAGTAGTAGTAGTAGCAGTAGTAGTAGAAGTAGCAGCAGCAGCAGCAGTGGTAGTAGTAATAGCGTTAGCAGTAGTAGCAGCTTCAGCAGCAGTAGTAGTAGAAATAATAGTAATAGTAACAGCAGCATCATTAGTAATAGTAGCAGCAGCAGTAGTAGCGGTAGTAGTTGTAGTGGCAGCAGTAGCAGTTGTTGCGACAGTAATAGTGGCAGCAGCAGTATGTGGCAATAGTAATCAGCTGTGTCCATTAGCTTCTGTCATGTTTACGTCCAGTCATTTGTAATTAGAGACTTCTATCTGTGTCTTTACAGACCACGGGAAAACACAAGCCGTTGCCATTTCCATGTTGTTGTTTCTTGGGATCCAGGCATCAGATGTATTCTTGTTCTTACGGTTCACCGGGTGAAAACTCCGACAGAAAATTCTGCTTGTTCATCAATTTCTGGACTTTAGTTTTGTTCCAGAGCGTTAGTTTTTGCGTAAGCAACCATTTTATAGATCTGGCTTACAGGCTGTTTGTCCCTTGCCTCTCATGCAGAATCATTACTAATTTGAAGGAAACATTCCTAATTAGTTGCCTTAACAACATGCTTGTTAATGCAGTGTGGGCTCATCCCACGCAACCCTCCTCCGACCCTCCACCTCCCAAAAAAGGGGGTGTGGATACCCCAAAAAAACTGGGGCCACAGAACCCCTATGGGGAAAGTCATAAAGAACAGATTACTTTATCAGAAACTATGTCTAGTCTCTTCTTCACCAAAACCTAGCAACAGCCAGAATTGTCCGGAATCCATTGCTTGTCTGCTATGTTTACATCACAGTTAAGCTATTGACCAAACTTGTTCCATAAATCATAGACAGCTAATCCTTGGATAATAACTACAGCTTATGGCTGTGACAGCATCTGGTGATAAGACAGGACAGACTATTATATGTAAGATTGCTCTACTAAATCAACAAATGTCTGTGGGAAAAAAAGGTGTACCTGTTTTGTGGGTTAGCAAGGGTTCTTCAAGAGTTCTACTAGGATGATAGGCAATGAGAGAACAGACGACGTTCTGGCTGACAGTGTGACTATCAGGGATGGGTCCTCTGTGGACAAGAGATACATCATCAATGCCATTCGAGAGACAAAAACGCTGTGAGGCTTTCAGTTTACGTTGAAAATGATTTTTCACTGAATTTACTGCATACCCTGGATATCAGGAAATCACTGCGGGAGCCACGTATCGTTCACATCAACCAGAGCAGAATAGCATTGGTTAGACTAAAAATACTTGGAGACAAATTCGGGGTATGGGAGCAATTATGGTCAGATCCTATGTGTTTTGAAGATGATCTCGAAAGTGAACAATGAGCAAGGGTATTCATGTTTTCTGCAAGCCGGGCAAGCAAATGAGATTACTTTGCTGTGAGTTTCACATTTGAATAAATAACGGTCACACAACAAGGTGTTTAGCTTCACATGTGAATGAGTTTCACATTTGAATGAATACCGGTCACACAACAAGATGTTCAGCCTCACATATTAATGAGTTTCACATTCGAATGAATAACGGTCACACACAAGGTGTTCAGCTTTACATGTGAATGAGTTTCACATCTAAATGAATAACGGTCACACGAGTGTCCACAAGTGAAGTTTTAAATTGCTTGGTTGTCATTTACACCTTTCGTCTTTCCATAAGATAGTGTTGGATTGTGCTATGAGCATCGCGGATATACTATCCATCGCACAAAACCTGGGCAGTATCGTAGAGACCATATGTTGCCCTTGCAATGTGATCCCTCTCTCGGCCTGTCTCGATTATTCCAAGAAAAAGGCAACACCAGTACATTTGGAACAAAGTACTCAGAAGCTGTCTGATCAGAAGAGCAGTGCTCTTTCTGCCCGCCTGTCGGAGCTTCTTTTTCTAGCTGTCCCAAGTCTTAGGTATACTTGAAGGGTTAGACTTTCACAAGATGCACTTATAAGGAACTTAAAACTGAGATCAGTTCAGTCGTTGGAATACTTCTCATCTGGGACCCAACCCTGAAGACCCAATCAGTGTCTTCACACGAAAGAAACAGACCATTATGTTTGGATTGCATACAGACTCTGCAGCCATGTATAAAAAAAATTAAAAAAAAAATAAAAAATTAAGGATTCAGGACTTTGTCATGTGGACAGGAACCACAGAATCCTCAACATGTTCTACAGATGTGCTCTTTACATGCAGTAGAGAGATCCCAGACTTGGCCTGTTGGCTTTCCAATGGAAACCAAGTTGTATAGAACAGTGGAAAACATGTCGCACCACAGACTTCATTGAGGTCTAAAACATTCTCGTCTGAAAACTGCTGGCAGAAAGAACGAACTACAAAACAAATACTAGGGCACACAGTTTCAGGCGCCAGTTCCCTTGCTTACTGAATTTCTTTCGCTGGAGTTCAGATGCGTTTATGAAAATTATTCTATCATCATCATTCAACAGATTCTTTGGAGCACGTCGCTCCCTTCATGGCATGCCTGCTAGCCAAATCATCATCAAGTGCCTTGCCGACTGGCGTGGGAGCTCATGTCTCTCCACAATCTGCGATCTCCTGTAACATGCATTAGTTCATGTGCTGACACACCTCCATGCCATGCAACAAGACTGTCAAGAATATTCTTTCGTTGTCTTCCTCTATCCCTTCTTCCACAGATCTTTCCAGTGGTCACAACATGTTCCATGTTTCCTCTTTTCATAACATGGCCGAAAAATGATGATCTCTCTCCTTCTGATGTCTGTAATTAGTTGTCTCCAGGCTCCCGCCTCTTTCAAAACCTTTAGGTTGCTCTTTTTGGTTTTCCAAGGTATTTTGAGCATTCTTCTGTAAAACCACATCTCTGAGGCCTCAAGAAATTGTGAGGCCTCATAGATGTGGTTTTACAGCTAGCCAAATTCCTAGTAATATTAACTTACAAAGCCAATGTATCTTCATTGTCTTGTATCCACCTTTGTGTAGATCGGTCCCCGCCTCGTTTTCCAGAAATTGTACCTTCCATCACCGTTCTTTCGAGGCCGCCATGGCGTTTATTGTCTACTACCCGTTTTATAAATGGCAGGGTGGACCCTAGAGCCCTATTTGACACACAAGTAAGGTTTAGATGATGACCCGTTACATCAAACTTTCACAGTGAAGGTGGCACCATATTGACTAAATTAAAGCAGTTCGTGGCCACACGTGGGGCAAGTACTTTGCGTTAATTAATAGATGGACTACCCGAACCGAGTTCCCTTTATGTTTGTTGAAGAGTCACCGCCCTGCACGAACGGTGTATAAAATATTCATTTTATGGGCTTCAACTATAATGTTAGCCACAGGGTAGATTGGATAGACAGAAACATTTAGCCACAGGGTGGGTTGGATAGACAGAAACATTTAGCCACAGAGGGGGTTGAATAGACATAAACATTTAGACACAGGGTGGGTTGGATAGACAGAAACATTTGGCCACAGGGTGGGTTGGATAGAGCCAGAAGATACATTTAGCCACAGGGTAGGTTGGAGAGCCACAAACATTTAGCCACAGGCTGGGTTGAATAGACAGAAACATTTAGCCACACGGTGGGTTGGATTGAAAGAAAATATTAGCTAGTGAGTGGGTTTGATAGACAGAAAAATGTAGCCAGAGTGTAGGTTGGGAAGACAGAAAAATTTAGCAACATAGTGGGTTGGATAGACAAAACAAATACAACGGATCAACATCATGGCACAATTGTAGTAACCCATCAGTGCTCCGTTCTACATCTAACTCAAACCTGAGTCGACGATTCTCAGCGCAGTGCACGAACTCCGTACCACCGACGATCTTGAAATACTTAGTAGATTTCAAACTCCAGATTTTGCCCTGGCAGCGCCTTTAGGCTACTCTTTTCTATTTTCAACTGGCAAGGGATTTGTTTTTTACGTGGGCAACAATGCACACGGACATCCGATGTTACTACCCAGAGTCCATGGACAATTATTAGAAGTCCACGTGAAAAAATCCTAGCCTTTACTGGGGTCTGAACCAAGGACCTCAAGCACTCAAGACGGACGCTATGCCTCTAGACCAATGTGTCTGTTAAATTTAACGATTGTACTCATGCTAGCAAATGAAAATTTAACCCTTGTATTGGTCACGGTTTGGGAGTAGTTAACGCTTCATTTATAATAAACAAACAAATACAGAATGGGTTTGTGGTTTATAATATGGAATGTAAACGTAATATACATTTTTTAAACTGTGTGCAATAACTCCAAAAAGAGCAACCAAGAGGTTTTAAAAGAGGCGGGAGTCCGAAGACAACTTATCACAGACATTAGAAGGAGACAGTCATCATTTTTCGGCCATGTTATGAGAAAAGGGAAAATAGAACATGTTGTGACCACTGGAAAGATCTGTGGAGGGAGAGATAGAGAAAGACAACGAGAGAAGGTGCTTGACAGTCTTGTTGCATGGCATGGAGGTGTGTCGGCACACGAACTGATACATGCTGCAGCAGATCGCAGATTATGGAGAGGCATGATCGCCCACGCCAGTCGGCAAGGCACCTGATGATGATGATGTGCAATAACTTGTCATGTGGGATGCAATTTTTTGTTATTTTGAAGCTCAACCCTGGCTGATGCCAGGGGCCGCAATATAGCCCGGCCATAAATATGGTCTAATGGCTGAGCGTGGTTTCTGGGACCTTTCCACGGGTGATCCTCATTCATATGGTGATACTTTGTTTTATCGGGTGTTTATCGCTTGTGTGAAGTCCTGAAGTCCTGGTGGGGTAAAATCTACTACTACTACTACTACTACTACTACTACTACTACTACTACTACTACTACTACTACTACTACTACTACTACTACTACTACTACTACTACTACTACTACTACTACTACTACTACTACTACTACTACTACTACTACTACTACTACTACTAACTACTACTACTACTACTACTACTTCTAATACTACTACTTCTACTACTACTAGTACTACTACTACTACTAAACTGTGTGCATACAATGCTTTATTTATCTTAATATGTACATGATTACCATCATGAAGCATGTCCTTTGCAGAACGTCGCTCTCATTACGGTCTGCCTGAAAGAAACTCAGTCTCTCGTCAACCCACCTGCCCAATTCAAGAAGTCACTTATAGCCCGTACCCTTCTTCATTTTGGTCGGCCTCGGCCCGTAATTCCTGCTATTATAATTTTTTTTTTTTTTTTCGCTCGACATGGCCAACACAGCTTCCGAGGCAAGATGCTGTTTTTTAGCCAGTTTTCCTCCATATTCAGATCTTTAGAATGCCATTATTTCTTCTCTTCTTTGTCCATGGTGTAACATATTTTGATATATTTTA